GGCACTAGCATGATACTAGCATAGTACTAACATTTAGATCTCAGTACTAATCTCCAGACCTTAGTACTAGCTTGGCACTAGCATGATACTAGCATTCAGACCTTATTACTAACTTGGCACTAGCATCCAGACCTTAGTACTAGCTTAGTGCTAGCATAGTACTAGCATTCAAATTTTAGTATTAGCATACTACTAATATTAGAATTTTGGTGTTACTCTTCTGACTATAGTACTAGTATAGTGCTTACTATATAAATCTGAGTATTAACCTTCATATCTTAGTACTAGCTTAGTATATGAAAACAAGGATGTGACATAGTCACAATATTTTCATCATCTTTGATCAGAAAAGAGTGAAAACAGATTTTAAAATTTTTCATCATGGTCTTGTATCAAAGATTGTAAAATGATTGAAGGAATGATTATTAACATTTCATTCAATTTTCTCTCAATTTTTTATCATCTTTCATGACAAAAGATATTATAAATATTATAAATACTTTTGTCATAAATTGACAATGAAGATGCCTAAAAGATTTGAACTTTTTCTTCAATATTTTTATCATTTTTCATCTTAAATTATTGATTGCTTCACCCAGTGAGAATGAGGTAGGTGTATCGTCGTCATTGGTCAGAGATGTACTTGTTGTGGATGCCGTTGTCGCAATAAATGAAGTGTAGGCTGAAAGTCCATGATCGCGGGTGTATAAATCTATATGTCGACTGAGAGCATGAGGAGGCAGTCGAGATTGTGAGACTTGATTTTCGTTATCTGATTCATCATAGAATTGAAAGTTGCAGTCGTGTTGACAGCATCGCCGTTTTGGTGCAGACATCTCCACGAGCAGGCCTTTGATGTGGTTAAAAGCTGTTCGGGTGGTGATCGTCAAAAGCCAAATGTAATGATCACAAGATAAAGTGGTACGAACCTTTTATATGCAGATTAAAACTTTTGCATGCCTTAAGGGCATGGTGTGCCTCTGAAGCATGAAAAGGGTATTTAAATTGATAATAATACAGAGAAAAAAAAGTAGATGCACCTGATGAGACCTTCATCATTTCACATGAGCAAACATGTCAGGGGTATGTGGGCTACCTTCTCTCAGCTGCTGGAGGTGATGATTCAAAGTCACTATAAGGAATTGTTGATGCGTCAAGAATGCATCAGCATGAACTCATCAGCGTGAATGCACCAGAAAAGAAGCATGTGCTTGACGTGTCACGTACCTAGCCTATCAGATTGTTGATTCATCAAGGGAAAAACAAGCGCTTGACACATCGCGTGTCTAGCCTATCAGATTTGTTTGACACATCAGAAAAGAAGCACGTGCTTGATGCGTCATGTACCCAGCCTAGCAGATTGTTGATTCATCTGGAAAACTGCAAGTGCTTGATGTGTCGTGTGTCCAGCCTATCAGATTTTTTGACATGCCAGGGAGAATGGGTGTGTGCATCCTTGTGAGGAATAATCTGTCATTGCGAAGTCTAAAAGCACATTCACCTGGAAGCAATCAATATATACAGTGGCATCATTTGGTAGGATACACTTAACACATGTCTTTGATCGAGACAATGATATAACATCTGGAGGAAGCCCTTCAATCTGTACAGTGTGGGGAGGTGATTTAAGATGTACAAATAGAGTATTCAAAATGTAATGACCATGCTCATCCAGGTGAGAGTCCCAATCGTACATGAAGCCTTCAGCACCGTTGGTTGCACACAACTCTGTCACTTTATTGTTCTTCAGCATCGCAGGCATTCCGGGACACAACGTCAAGATGCCAGTGTGATGGCCAGTTAGAGCTGGAGGCAGTGTCCAGAGAACATCCTGCACCTTGCTAGTAACATTATTGAAAGTCCGACGAGGATTCCAGGTGGAATCAGAACTCCACTGGGTACATCATATAGAGTCTGAACGTGGAGAGGATGACCACGAATCCACTGAGTAAAATGGTGTCAGGGACAGGTTATTGTCAGATGCAAAATGCCAGGCACACATTTCATTTATCACATCACGGTGTGCGTTTAACCCAGTGATGATAGAGACGTTGCGGAAGCACAGATCTGCAAAACATTTGCTTAATGGGTCACTGGCATCAGTAATGATCTGAGTATGTAATAGAGCGATGTCATCTTCATCGCAACTTTTGTATCTCATGTTTATCAATGCAGTGCAAAATCAAACATCATCTTCGGACATCCCTTGTTGGTGCATATTTCTACGCAAAAGAATCACTGTGGTAAACTGATGTCATAATGACTTACCGATAGCAGCTTGCTGCGAGATCAGTGTATTAGCATTCAACCAAGGCCCAACACTGTTTGAATACAAAGAAGCCGCATTCCTACCCACAGGAGGTAGTTGAGCAAAATCGCCCACAAGAATGACGCTTAGACCACTGAAAGACTGATCGGTAATGCTCAATGCCTTGCACATTTGGGCACTAATTTGATACAAGTTTACACACAATATCATAGACATCTCATCAATGAACACAGCGTCTACACCCTGAAGATGATTACGAACTTTAGATAGAGAGGTAGGACTGCTATTGCCTACATGGTCAGAGTTGTTTGAGAATCCTAACACAGAGTGATAGGTTGAGCCTGAGATTAAGCATGCAGCTGATCCTGTTGGTGCCATGAGCAAAAATTGCCCTGCCTCTCCACGTCGTGTAGGAAAGATGCTGACAGCTCGAATGGAAAGTGACTTTTCAGTGCCTCCAATACCTCCTAGATACATCCAAAGAGGTTCACATTCATGGTGGTGGAGATGTCAAGCACAAAAACCAAACATCTGTTGTTGTTCTTCATTGAGGTTGAAGGTATGCATGATATCTTTCATTAACGATATTGTATTATCCTCTAGTGAACGAGGGACACCATCAGCGTGAGCTATATCGGACTCATAAGCATTGAACGTCAACATAGTTACCGAGTTTGGAAGACATCGGGTCGAGTAACAATCAACATTGATATCTCCATGTGCCACTTTGAGCCGTTGTTGGATGACAGTTTGTTTTGCAGACAACACAGCTGCCTTCCATGCAGTGGCAGATTGTTTGGGAATATCGATAACAGGTTGAATATCAGTGCTTGGAGATGAAGCTGTCCTATCAGTGCACAGTCAGCCCAATAGTGTTTGCATTTCCAACGTGAGGGCTGCATTGCGAGAGCTAACATTTCCTAGTCACGTAAGATGATCATGAAGCATTGAAAGTTAATGTTCTTGGTTGGCATCTGACATGACATTAGACTCATCTCTCTCAATGTCCAGTGAATCCAACATTGAAGGATTGAGAAATTCCAGACCCAATGACAAATGTTCACTAGCGAGCCGTTGTGCAGAAAAATCATCACGTGCATCTCAACATTTATACAAAATGTTCATGTTGGCCATAACCTGAACATTGTGAGATGTGAACATGGTCCATTGAAATACAGCATTCCAGCTTTCACTCATTGCTTTAATATCAATTCCTGAACGCCAACCACATAGGTAAAAAAAAAATGTAAGCATCATTTGACAGTAGGTCTCCTGATCCCCTTTGTCGTGACGGGGAAGTGCTTTGTCAAGGAAAGTGAGTATCACGAAGTGGATGTGCAGCCAATAAATGGCTTGGACCATGATCATCATCGATTCCTGTAGCCGCTGCATAAGAGGATACAGACTGACATCACCTGATGACGTCAGTTTGGATGAGATAGTCATAAAGACAATAATGCTCATACCTAATTGGACAATAAATGTAATCATTGATCTTGTTCAGGGAGACGATTTCATGTTTTGACTGACCAATGACCATGCGGTCTCTGTCGTCATTGTATCTGTCAATGTTACAGTGTAAGTCAAAAATGGCAGATGTCGATGCAATGCCTCCCTATGTATTCACGACATAGTTGATGTACGGAGCCCAGAAGAACTTCTTAAAGTGTATGTTGGTATAATGGTCTGAAAAATCAAGCAAATAGGAACATACCATTGAACCGCCAATCTCCATTTTTGCTGATAGAGCATTGACTACTTTCGTGACAACCATCCGTGCCCGATTCTCATTTGATCCTGCATGTGACATGGCCTCAGTGTTAGCATCCAACACAGTGCATACAGTCTCGAATATAGAATGTGTTTTAAGAGGAGATTTAGTAATATAGTCAGTAATGTACGTGATGATGGTGCATACTTGAGTTCTCAATAACAGACAGGTAACATCTGTATTGCATCTGAGAGCGTATGACATCACAGGGTTGAAGGTGTTGATCCATGGCTCACTTTTTTTGAAGTGAATGGCTCCTGTACCAATATCGACCTCAGTGGAAGGATGTATATTGTGAGGAAAGCGTGCCTGGCAGAGACTATCAAATGAGCGACGGCAGCCTTTGGAATGACTAGTCTGTAGCTGACATTGCTTGGTCTGCATCACGAAGAACTTGATGGTATGTATCATTACCTCTGCTTCAGTAGAAATGATGGGGGGTGCAACGGTAAAACACATGTCACTAAACAGCCCTCACAGTCATCCGATTCAAAATCAGTGCTGCGACCATCGATACTTTCCTTAATTTCATTTGAACTTCCCATCGAGTAGTCACCTTGATGACAGCTATCCAACCAATCTAACATAGCCTGACAAAATGTGAGATCATTCAGTAAGCGTGACCGTATTTCGAGAGGGCTTAGGGAGTTAAGGATCTAAAGTAACATATGCATGTGCAAAGTTTGATGACCCTGGGATTCAACAGTACCATAGTAGGCAGATGTACACCCAAACAGGCCATCATTGTCTGAGCTGATTCGCAAGATGTGCGTAATGAATGAATTCACCATGAAGTCGAAAAAATGAGCGCAAGTGACCGGATTGTCAGCAATGAGGTGCAGCTGCTCAGCATATCGAGGATACAGGCTGCATGGATCAAAGATATCAATTGTCTGACCACAGTAGTATAGGCAGAGAGGATGGTTGATATCGACGGGTGAAAATGTAATGAAGAAGAGTGGTACGTTGCGTGCAATAATGAGACTGAATTTCATTTCTAAGCTGTTTGCGTTTCGCAGACGACCCATCTACATGCCCAGCGACATAATCAAGAATCGATATTAGTTCAAAACACTTTACTGTTGTGGTATATGCTTTCTGGCTTAGAACCATGGCCATATCATAATACAGCTTCCCCTCCATGGAAGTACTGCAGAGCTATAATAATTTGAGACTTATATGACATTGTCACGACATCAGCAGTGGACAACCCCACCTGGACCTCACATGTATCCGGCCTAGTAAGGTTGTCGTGCGGACTGGGTTTGGCAGCCTAGCTAGGCCCAAATGCGCACTCCTCCCCCACTGCCAGTAGCACCATAGATACCGTCGCTGATTTCCTGTTAGAATTCCCCCGCTGATGTAATGCGATGGTCACTGGGTGGCTGAATAATCGGGGATTGATAAGGCTGCACCTGTTCCCGATAAGGCATGTGGCCACACTCCCCAGCATGTCCACTTCCAGGCCGCATCGGGACCCGGTGCTCGCTGTGTCGGCATGTGCGCCCACCACCGCCGACAATGGCAGCACTCTTTCTTCTCTCTGTGGGACATTTCTCCATCATTTGTTCTCATTTTTTCTTCTATGCGCTCCTATCACATACTGTAAGTGAAGCACACTGCAATTATGGGGCTTATATAAGCTTGTTATTGTAGAAACACTCAGATGAAGCCTCCATTAAGTTTCTACTACTTTAATGCTCTATTACACTGATATGTAAGCTGTCCAATGCTTCATACACTCACAAGTGAGAGCCTGCATGGCCTGCTCATCACTGCTGCAGCTTATAGTGATGAGAGCCTGCCAAACGTGGTCACATGAGTGACGTGCCTGACACATATGTGCCTCTACGTGCGTGCTAAAAGTGAAGACTCTGGCCTCATAGCTTTTACTCTGCACGCTCTCTATGTGCTTCCTTACCCAATGACTGCCATCAAGCCCACTCAGAAGGTTCACGTCACTGTGGTCTGACCACAACATGCTGATCCATCAAGCCTGAACAGCCGCATAAAGGGCAGTGTGCTCGGGGTCAAGGCCATTGCGGAGGAAAATTGCAAAGCTGAGGAGAAGCAGGCAATGAGGGTGGTGGGTAAGTATATACAGTTTTTTTCATTGCACTAGAACATATTTTACTACGTTTCAATCAGGACTTGGTCCTGAATCTCACAAGGCACTGGTGAAGATTAGAGGAGAAGTTGCACCAGAGGTAGACTCTGGTGCTGCCTTAGACGATGCCATGATGGAGATCCAGGAGATGGGAAGGGAGGACAACCATCAGCGAGAGGATATAGCTCAGGAGGATGATTCATTCGTGCATGCAGTGCAGGATATCATCGACTCTCAGTGTGTCTTTGTATGATCACACTACTCCTCATTGCTAACTTCATACCCTTTTATCATAGATGGAAGGCTCACTGATATCAAGACGCATGGACTTGGCAGCATCGCATGGACTGTATGGATGAAAACTGGTGCCCCCTCCTTCCCAAGCTTGTGGACGCTTATCTCTGCTGGCAGGGAGACTCGTCATCATCATGTCACAGCCATTTCCTTGAAGAATCACTGTATGACTTTGACATCGATGTACTTGACATTTGCACCCTCACATTTTCGATTCACATTCACCATTGCGAGGACATCAACTCACCTGCAGAAGCTCTCATCCTTAACGGCTACCTCGGCACTACACCTGCTTTCTCCTCCCTCGCTATTTCATTCAAGATGCTGGAACTCTTCCACTGCATATGACTTTTCAAGGCTTCCTTCAGCATGGAGGCCTGCACGAAGCTTCTGTGCCACTACTATAAGGTATGCTATTGCCTCGCTCTAGAGATAGCTTGCTAATGGTTTATATTAGATACCGCTATGCTGTCACAGTATTAAGTGGCACCTTTCTTTTTGCACCATTAAAGTCCTCATTTGAGTGGTTATTCAGACGCCAACCTTCATATTGGTCTCGCAATGTGGATACTTGGA